ACCGACCAAACGTGGCGGTAAGACGGTATTTAGGTGTGATAAGTGTGGCAATAGCTGGAAGAATCCGAACGGCTTGGACTATCACCTTAACAAATCCCGTACTGCTTGCAATCCCGCTTACGTCCCAACCCCGCTGCCACCCCCCAGGCAACTTGCGAAGCCAAAACCAATACCTAAGATGATGCTGTCAAAACCATCTGATGACCAGGAGCAGGGTCGGGGCTTCGATGATCTCCAACTACCAGACTTAGCTCGCAAACCATCACAGCGTAACTCTGACGTTGGAAGCAGTCGGCCCCTACTACCTCCTAAGCGTATTCGTCTTAGTGAGAATCTCGTACACAGCGAGGACCCTAGTGGTTCAGCTGCGCAAGGATATGCTGGAAGCTCTATCGTGTTGAAAGATGTAGAAGCTTATGATGTTATCGATCATCGAAAACGAAGAGAGAATAGCCAGGCGGCTTTGCACAATCTCTATAGTACGGTTTCTCCAACGCATCAGGCGAACCAAATATTATTCCAGGTTACACCCAAGAAAAAACCTCAAGCTAGCGAGCCCGATATCAGACGAGGGCAGGCCGGTACTAGTACACAGGAAACTTCTCAGAAACAGAAAAGCAACCTTGCTTTGGCACGCGACCGCGACCGAAAATCTAGAGCTGAGAACCCCGAGTCTTGTACTGCAGTCCATCAACCTCATTCAGAGCAAACGGAAGCTAGGAACATAGAGCCTGCGCCATCTGATTTCAATCTACGACCTACTTCATTAAAATCGGCCACACCCATCGGCCATCATATATCTGGAGCAGCTGTCCCGCTGGCCGCCATCAGCCGCCCTCTTAATGGCAATGGGAGAAACGATATTCCAAATTCCAGGATGCTTGACAGCCAGCTACATAACGAAGCTACAGGACCAAACCAATTGACTCCGAAAAAGTCCCATAAGTCATCTACACTTACTGTGGGCACGGTACGTAAGGATCGAACAACCGGTATCATCCAGCATCTTCTTGACAAGAATAACGGTGTCTTCCCGGGACAACGATCCTTGTACTTAGCTATGGTATCTCTCTGGGTCAAAAAGTATAGTGATATTGAGCCCCCCGACTGGAAGGTATGCCAGAATGTAGTAAATAAGATGGAGAAAGCTGGTGTACTAGCACAGCAGCGCTTTTTTTTCCTCGACGATACTGGCAAGCTTCAAGAATGTTGCGTGCTTGCTAATAAGCAGCAAGGTGGACCTACTGTCACAGATTTAGCTGCTGACCCCAAAGTGGTCATGGTCAAAGAGAAGATGAGAGAAATGCACCCGGAACCGTATATCCCAGAAGAGTTTTCGCTATCGCAGGATGAGAGCGAACTCTTCGATGCGCTTGCATCGAAATATAGAGATTCCATGCCTTCCAACGGACCTCAAAAACAATCTGGAAAGTCGAACGTGACCGAAGATATCGAGGTATTACAATACCCAGCTTATGTTGTCAATGATGCTTCTACACACATAGCTAGCTCAAAGCGGCCCGCCGAAGAAGACGAATTGTCAGATGTGACGCCCGCGAAGAAAATTCGCGTGGATACTAGCACCATAGATAAGCCCAGAAGAGCGCCCAAGCCGAGGAAACGAGGCGAGCAACGCGAGTACTGGGCAACTGCGAAAGTTGCGAAATACATTTGGAATCAAAAGCAGAATCCAGGTGAAAATTGGGGACAGAGACACGCCAATCTTCAAAACTTTGCTACAGGAGCATGGTCAGCTTTGCCTCAAGAGGCCACCTCCATGCGACCTAGTATTGATGGAATCCTATCTTCACTTCGAACTTCACGCGAAAACGCATTAGTATCAATGAGACACGTTTCCACAAGCGGGTCTAATGGTACGGAGGGACCCCCGAAGAGAAACAATGCCAACTCACCTGGTGAACTTCTTTGGAGTCATGATTCGACAGGCGGTGGAAATGGGGAATGTTGTGATGAAACAATCCCTGACGTAGCAGAAAGAGTCGAGAAAGGCCTAGTTGATCGATTTGTGAAACCTTCCATTTCTACGTCGTTTATACCTGAAGATTCAGGATCTGAGGAAGAAGACGATGATATGATGTTAATTGAAGTACATCATGCAGAAACTATGGAAGAAAACTCAAGCCCCCCCTCTGAAGGGGTTAGCACTACGTTCGCAAAGAGTAAAACGATTCGGAATACGCGAACTGGTTGCTGGCCTTGGCTACCGGTTAGCTTTTTCGAGTCGAACCCCACGAGCTTTACATTGGCCGGAGCCATGCCAGAGGCTCGATGGTTCCAACGAGCGAATTTGCCACAGAATTCCGGGGATATCATTAAATCTCTCCGGGGGAAGTTCCAATTCAACTCTTGGGCAGACCCCTCCTATGGAAAATTTCTACGAGAAGTGGGCATCATCGAGAGATGGGAACAATCAGCTGAAGGGTCCCAAATTCTCTTGCACGGGTCGGTCGCACCGGATTATATATTCATTTCCCTCTCTTCCGAAGAGTCAAGGGCAAATATGAAGCCTATTACCCTCGAGTGGCCTAGTAAAGGCCAGTATACCGTGGAGAATATGCCAGAAGAGATTAAAAACGCATCTCCCGACGATGAAAATGCGGGCTTGTCAATAACCCATCGCAACAGGGGTAGGCCAAGAAGGGAACATCCTGTCGAGTCACAGCCTAAAGAACAAGCTAAACCCAACGCAAAGAAGCCCGGAAGGAAGGCACAAACAGCTCCAGTACCCCAAGCAGAAGTTCAGTATAAGACACGATCACTCAGGCCAATACCTGTCCAGCATCGTGGCCGCGTGAGCATACCACGCCCGAATGAGGATAATCTTGGTCTGAGTGGGGAAACAGAAGTCATAGCCGCGTTCGTGGTATTTAAAACACTCCTAGGTGGGATCGATAGGAAGGCAGATATTGGCTCAATACTAAAGGCTTTCCCTAAATTCTCTCACTCAGCACTAAGAAAATTCTGGCCCAGAGTCAGTAGAGAACGGAAGACATATATTGATGCTTTAACGGAGAAGTTTCAATCGGCATTTTTAGAGGCTTATGAAGCGGGAGAAGTTGAGCCCCTTAATTACGACGACATGGATTCCTACGATTGGCAGTCTCTAATCATCTGGGCTACTAAATTAGAAACACACGATAAGGTGGAACTTCCTGGATCCCGACGCGATCTAGAAGAGACCTATTCCCTTGAGGATGTAGGTAACGAAGCTACAGATTGGAGAGAGACATGGTTTCAAAACTTGGCTTCTATCTATTCGAGAGTTGAAGCAACATCTGGCGAACCTATTTCAATCCCTTTAAGTCACGATGTTTCGGCTGAAGAAGAGATTATTGGTCGGGCGAGGTCGTGGGTTCGCTCTTTGTGTGTAACCCCAATACGGGGTGCAAAGATGCCCGAGGAGATTCGTGCAAAGCTCTTAAGTCTCAGTGGTGGGAACGAAACAGAAACAAACAAGCTACTCAAGAAAGTGGTTGATAAGCTTATATCAGAGAGGGTAGCGTCAAGAAGCAAAGGGAAGATATTGGGTCAGTCCTTGCGACTGCACGGAGTCTTTGCAAAGCATCTTGAGAAACCAGCTACTGTCGAGAAATTTGCACAATCTGCCAACTTTAAAACACTACTAGATGAGAGCTTTCGCAAAGGCGAAGGGTTTGCCGTCCCTTACGTTGCCGACGACGGAGTAATCATGGCGATTTTCAACCTCCAAGCCCAAGGCCACATCCGCGCAGAAGCCATGAATATCCCCAATATTCCCTTTGGATTTGAACCGGGTAATTACGACGGCCGGACGTTCCCAAAAAGTTACTATCACTTCAACATAATATTGTCACCTACGGCGAGCTACGTATTCAACGAAGACCTGCCAGTTCTCCAACAAGCAGGACGGGTTGGGGTACCCCAACAGGGACCTCTAAACGAGATACCGATCTGGGTCGATTTCTTCGGAAATCTTGACCAGACCCGCTGGATTACATATCTCAGCATGACAACCTTAGCGTTCGCCACCAAAGGTCCGCTGACACCGCAGACGGCAAGCGTGCTGCTGAAGCCATTCGTCGAGCCGTTTGAGGCCAAGTTAATCATGGATTGGATTGATGGTCTAGGCATCTTAGAGCGCTACGACTCGGGACAGAGCGCCACAGTGGGGGAGTGGTGGTGGTTGGTCGTGGGCCGACTGGCACTTGATGTGATGGGAAGAGGTGTTTCCCAAAATTAGAAGAGAGTAATTAATTGTAAATTATACCAACGCAAATTCATTATATGGCATGGAATGGCAGCATATTAGGGCGTTTGATGAGGGAGATATCCGTCAGTTTGTTGCAAAGCATTGCCGGACTTTTCTTGATATGATCTTGGCAACATCGCACAGTAATGGTCAAGTTTATAATAATACAATAGTTTCATTTAAGAGAAAACAAGAAGAAACAACAGCAATGCACCCATAGAATTGAACATGTACCGAATTTTCTTAATATATTTATCTCGCTAGTCTCGAGCTACAGGGAGCCACGTTGATGGTAGGACAATACGTTGTAGTTGCGGCTCATGGGCTTGAGATAACGGCCCGTGTAAACGGCGATTCGATTCTGTCTAACTAGCGCCAAATTCTTGGCTCTTTTCATTTTTGGTTAGAACTTTACTAGAAGTTATCAAGTCCATATGGAATGTTTTCATACTTGATGAATTAGGCGTTAGGATAACTTACGGCCGTGGTATTAATCGACTTGTAGCTTTACCACCCAGTTCTCATCTTGTCGATTTTATAATCTGCATCCAAGAGATAGTTTCAACTGCGAGCTTCCCAGAAGTTCCTATAAGCTTAAATTCGTGTAGCTCGTTTCGGGTAGCATCCGAAGCCTTAAATTCAATCTCTAATTCAGTTCTTCCATGGTATCACTACCCGCTATCACATGTAATTCAATTACGCCTTTGCCCCGCCTGTAACGCCAATTGCCCACGCCCGCCTCCTATCACCACTAATGACCTATAATGATCTTCGTCAACATCGCAATCAATATCACTACCAATGATACAATGGCGTAGTCGACCCACGGCGGTACTCCCGCGTTCGGATCTACCCTTCTTGAAGTCTGCAGCGATGCAGACTGCCCTACAGCTGCTGGCAATGGTATCGTTCTCGTGGGTGTCGGAACCCCCTGTGCAGGTCTAAGAGCAGGCGGCGGATCTTCCCTCCTCGGCACAGTCTGCACAAAGCCCTCCGCCAACTCCGCGCTCTCCGCATCTTCCTTCTCGCCCTCGCTATTAGCCGCAGCCCTCGCCTTCTCCATCTCGTCGCGGAAGCCCATCTTCAGCTCGGCCGGGATTTCAATCTCCTCCTTCCTCTTGCCATCGTTTTCGGCCTCGGCCTCGGCGCACCGCTGCTCGCACTCGGCGATGATCTCGGCATTGGTCCTAGCGCACACGGGACAGCGCCAGGCGCGGCTCTCGACGGCGAGCTTGCGGCGCACGGCGTCGTTGGTATCGAGGCCGCCGAGCTGGCCGCGCGCGTCCGTCTCCATGAAGGTACGCAACGCAACTAGCGCCGTGCGCACCCCCCACGCCGGCTGCCACGACTCCTCGTGGTGCCCCGAGATGCTCAGGCAGATCTCCCGGTTGGCTTCGAAGCGGCCGCTCGGCGTCGTAAACCGGAACGATGGCGGGCGGTGCGGGTACGCCGGTGGAAGCACGATCCGTCCGTGGTATATCCCCTCGGCGAAGGCGGATTTCGGCGGGCCTCGTAGCGTGAAGTGCCATTCGAAGAGATCGGATTCGAGGGGTGCTGCTGTGTAGTCTGGAGAAGGGGAGGTGGAGAGCTCAGCTGCTTCTTTTACTGTTTATTAGGGTTTGGTCAGTATGTGTTTGATGGTTCTGGAGGGAGTAATAGTCTTGTACGTACATATGCGCCTGATGGTAGGCGATTTGGAATTGAAAGTAGATGTAGCCATGATGGCTGGTGATATTCACAATGGTCTCTCGTATTAGTAGAGGGAGTAGAGGGGTTATCGATTACATAGAGCTTATTACGGGATAGAAAATAGATATGTATAGATCAACACTAATAGAGTTAAAATATGTGGGATTTTAGGTTAGGAGAGAGTTTGAACGGTTGTTCCTGGCTAACTGGTTCTAATAAACGAGGCCAGATTGTCTTGATACACCTTGGAAGTCACGAATTGATGCGATGCATGCACTGTATAGGTAATACAAAGGACAGGTACACCCGGGACCCTTGTTGCGATTAGATGAAACGGCGAAGGTCCTACGTAAGCCACTGCCGAACTAGCAATAACGCCGAAAACACGTGATAATTAACACTTTCCAATCATACTTAAGTCACGTGCGTTGTAACATCTCGCATTGAAGTTGGTAACTACAACCTCTTGCCATAGGTAATACAAGCTAATTTTATATTATACTACCTCATGGAAACAGCGTTCTTGCCATTTCTATAAATCAGGCCAGGGACTATGTCTAAGACTCAGGTACCTTAGGATGTTGTGTTAAATGTGAGTAAAACCTTCATATTTGAGACATATGCCTTGCTACCTTATGCAAACTTCCTTGCCTTATGTGACTATATTTTTTACCTCTGTTTATATTTGGGTTTTAGTTTTATGTGCAGGTTTGTGCATATATATATATGTGTATAAGACATGTATGTCTGTGTGTGTATTCAACGCCATGACTGACCTCCGTGGGCCTGTAAAGCTACCAATATTATTATCTTATACATCTAACATTAAGAGGTATATATAATCATCCAAGCCCTCCCGACTTTAATCACTATATGAGCATCTTCCAGGTCGCAACTTTATTATATAAAATACGGTACGGTGTAAACCTTAGACTTTTATATTAGGGACCCAGAGGGTGACCTTTAATACCTGTTAGTGCATGTATTATAGATGTCGTCCACTGATACCCCTTTCCTTATTAAGGCACAAACAATATAAGTCAACTGCAGCAGCTTCCAATCCAAACGTAGTACATTCTGGAATAATTAAAGTCTAGTTCAAGTTGACCTGCAGAGTTAATACATGTAATTCACTCATTTGGTTGTTCTAATCGATACATCGGTACCTACAAGATATGTTCAGGGAAGTTGCTCTAGTATACATGCAGTTAGTATATGCTCATGGTATTCATACATAGCAGTAACGGCGACTGCCTGGAGAAGGCACACTGAGGAATATACGGTTTTTTAGCTATCGCACTTGCCTATGGTAACTAATTTATTTTCACATGCCTTCCGTTAGATATAATTCCTTCTTTGCCGATCAAATATTTAAACAAGAGCATTCCGCAGTCACTGCTGTCGGTATCTATCAACTTTCAAGCAAGAAACCTTCGAGAGGTAATTTTTAACTGCATTCTTATCCGTCCGTCCTTTCTACGGGATTTTCTACCCTTCTCTTTTTACTCTTAGAGGAGGAGCCATGGCGTCCAAACAGAACGGTACTGGCACCCCTCATCTAAGATGCGCAAAGTGTATGGCCGCATTTGCCGATCTGCGCGACCTATACCTTCATCAGCAGAAACGGGGACACCTAGCTTGTGGTTCTTGTAAGCAGTCTTTCCATGATATAAATGCCCTAATCAAGCATCGAGAAGAAGTAAGTCTCCCTTTCAATTGTGACATTTTCCTTATGACTCAAACTCACTAAACTCACCCATATAGAACCATAAAGCGGAACAAGACCTCCCCTGTCCCGGTTGTGGTACGAAGTTCGTCTCTGCAGGAACATGGATGCGCCATATCGAAAGGGGCGAGTGCCATGCAATCTTTCCTTCGGAGATATCTGGAAACATTGTCCAAGCCGTAGATTCCATTACGAAGGCCTTAGGCGAATCCAAATTCGAGGATGTGGACTACACCGTCAACCCGGGCAAATCGTTTACTGAGATCAGTGATGTCTGGGGAGACGAATGGAAAAAGGAGCAGAGCCTTGATGCCCGAGACCACCCCGAGCGATTTCCGAGAACCGCACAGCAGGAGTTCTACCAAGGCGGCTCGAAGCAGACAGACCTGCTGACGGGAGATGATGGAGCCAACCTTGAACAGCGCCCATTCAATGCTTGGGCTCAGAAGAAGAATCTATTCCCGGAGAAAGCAGCAGATCGCGCTGTACCGCCTCCACCGTCTCTCCTTGAGAATGTGACGAGACCGTCCTCCTCAGCCCAGCCTACTGGAGAACGCATCACCAACCCGGACAACCCGGGCTTCAACGCGGGATTGTTTTGGAATCCCTTATTGGGAATTTTTAAATGTCCCCACAAGGATAATTTTAGCTACAAAGAATGTGGGTGAGTATTTGGCCACTCGGATCATCACGTCTGAACAAAATGTTAACGTTCTCATAGCTCGAAGCACACTACTGCACAGAGCTTGATCGCCCATCTAAAGTCATCTGCGCATACTAGTACTCGTTTTCAATGCCCGGGATGCACAAGTGTATTCACATCCGGCAGTGGATGGGTTCAGCACGCAGATTCTGTAAACGAAAAAAAGTGCCGTATTCGAAACACGGGCTTTTATAGACAAGTGCTGAGCACGGCTACCAAGGGTGCGTTGAGCATCGATGACCTCATCAAGCTTGAGAATGATACGGCAAAGGTGAAGTTTGATGATGACTGGGCCACATCCAAGCAACGTGGTGGGCCTGGTCCTGTGCCAGGCTCGGAGGCGTGGGTAAAGGAGAAGGAAGCTGGGGTCTCCAAGTCTCAGTCAGATTCGGAGAAGTCTCAGCCAGGCCCGAAGAAGTCCCAATCTGGCGCAGGAACGAAAATTACCCACGAGGAGTACACATGGTAGTGTGAGGCTCTCAGAGCTCAGTGGCGGAATACAGGCTTCTTGCGGATACGTTGGTATAAGTGGACGGTTGTGTCTCATGAGAACACTTTGTTTCCACTTTGAGACGGCTGGTTGTTCAACCAATCATGGTTCGATTTTAAGGCATGATGATCGGGTTTGCGTTGATTTGCGTTAATAATTTCTTCCTTTGCCATTAGATTAGGTACCTAGTTGAGATCAATAGCTTGATATCTCATAGTCCTGACTGTTAGTCAGCAGAGGTCTACCGTAACTTGCCAATATACGCGATGATTTCTCTCAGCAATACCGCCTCAGCTTAGTGATGTAATATTGAATGAGGACCAACTGGATCCCAACAACTGATTACTATATCGTGGTGTTTTCCGTAACTTTTAGACGCTCTAGCCAATCAAGTAATAAGAAACAACCCCGTACTTTACCGTAAGGCATTTTATCCATGCAGATTATGATTGAATTGCCCGCACATCACTCTACACAATTCAGCCGCCAGGGTTCTAGACATATGTAGAGCTAATTACCAGAGTAGGCAACCCATCCCTTGTTGCGAGTCGACTCTTCTTACTCTTTCCACGTAGTTTCGATGCATAAAGCATTCGTATTAATTTTAGATGACTCTATATCTATCTTAAGATAAACAATCTGAGTCTTTCTGACATCGCCATATGGCCCTAGGAGACATCTTTGCTCCCGCGCTTAAGGATGTCGCGACTCGCGACTGGGTTCTCCGCCTTCCCCAAATGCAGCGCGGGTAATCTATTGTTACGATGAGCATTGGCGTGGTGTCGAACCCTGCATATTCATATATTGCCCAGTCGGCTGGTGATCATCTTTACTGAGAAGGGGGTCGGCAGATGCACCCTCATGCGTGAGTTGGACTCTAATTACCAGGTCGACGCCATGATAATGGAGAGGGGTCCGGTACGTTTGGGGGCATTTATATAGGCAGCCACCCTATTTTAACATCACCTTCGATCTATCTGACATCTATCGCAATTTCGGCCATTTTTCAACGGCGATCATGCACGTACGCGTAGCGGTCACAGTCGCGTGGTTTCTTGCCCGTCAGGCGGTGGCACAGGGAATCGGTAATACGGATACGCACCCGCAGCTTACGACGGAGAAGTGCACTAAGGCGGGCGGCTGCGTCAGGCAAAACACGTCTATCGTCCTGGACGCGAGCTTCCACCCTCTACGGCAGGTCGACGGAACCAGTAGCTGCGGGGGGTATGACGGCGCGTTGAACAGGGAGCTATGTCCAGACCACGAGACGTGCGCCAAGAACTGCGTTTTCGACGGCGCCGACTATGAGGGCAATGGCGTGCTTGCGGACGGGAACATCCTTACACTGAATATGTACGGAGAGCGCGATGGTAAGCTTGCGACGCTGACTCCGCGCGTGTACCTGCTAGACGTGAATGAAGATGATTATGAGATCCTACATCTTAAGAATCAGGAGATCAGCTTCGATGTGGATGTGTCGAAGCTGATTTGTGGTATGAATGGCGCGATGTACCTTGCCGAGATGAATCAGACTGGAGCCCGCAGCGCTCTCAACCCGGCTGGTGCGAAGTACGGGACTGGATACTGTGATGCGCAATGCCCGAGCCTGCCGTTTATCAACGGCGTGGTAAGTTTTACCGCACCCTCAATCCTTCCTACCTTGAAGCTGATAGGATATCTATAAATCCAGGCCAATATCGACTCCCGAGGGGCTTGCTGCAACGAGATGGACCTCTGGGAAGCCAACTCGCTGGCCTCGGCATTCACTGCTCACGCATGCAGCCAGCCGGGCGTGTACGAGTGCAAAGGGGACCAGTGCGGCACCCTGGGCGTCTGCGACAAGTCCGGATGTGCGTACAATAACTGGAAAATGGGCAACACAACTTACTATGGTCCTCGCACGCCTCCGCCGGGCTCATCGGATAACGGCAATTTGACGCGGTTTACCGTCGATACTACGCGTCCGTTCACTGTAACGACACAATTTCTCACGCAGGGGAATCCGGCAGATATTACTAAGGGAATATTGAACGAAGTACGAAGACTATACGTTCAGGATGGCGTGGTGATTGAGAATGCACCGGTGATAGCTCGTAACAGTATGTGATATGAGTTCCCCCCTCTCCTCCCTTCCCCTCCCCCTTTTAGTCTATCTCGGGACTTAGGATTTCCCGAGACACGCCCGGACCCCTAAACTCTCCTTATCAAGTAAACAAAGCGGGCAACCATTGTTAACTATTGCAAACTAGTGCCTCCGGGGGACTCGCTACGCATGTCGCACTGCCAGGCCGTAGCCGACAACTTCGAGAACATGGGCGGACTGACGAACACGGGACAGGCCCTAGACAGGGGAATGGTGCTGGCGTTTAGCATCTGGAACGACGACAAGCAGTTCATGAACTGGCTGGACGCGGGAAATGCTGGGCCGTGCACGTATGAAGAGGGTAACCCGGAGCTCATCCGGAGCAAGCGGCCAGATACTAGCGTTACGTTTATGAATATTAGGTGGGGAGATCTGGGGAGCACTTATAACAACGGTACGGCATCGTGAGGGTATCTGTTGTGATTATAGGAGGGGAGTGAAGTAAGAATTATCGGAGACCTTGAAGACTAGTAAGTCAATAGGACAGTATATATGAATACCTAAAGTTAAAGAATTATTTCACATAGTTATTAAATTTCTTATTAGAAGTCGAGGTGATGAGTAATAATGAATTATGATCGAGAGAATAAGTCGTAGATCGACAGCTTCTCTATTTCATATAATCTATAGAAGCATATCAACACCGAATTGATGCATACCAGATAAGCATTAGAAGAGTACTACTAAGCCACAGCCAAGCCCCGTTCCTTCCGTAACCCCTGCCTATCTCTCTCCTTGGTCCACGTCAGGTCCACTTAGATAGAATCTGGATCCTGGAATTCGTCAGGGGATGTTCGTAAGCAACTCATCCCAAAAAGAAAAAAGTACCTAGTGAATCGGTTTCATGATGTGATACTTGCTTCTTTCTTTCTTTTGGTAGGCAGAACGTCACTTTTTTTTCTTTCGCTAGTTATCTATTTTATCCATCTCTCTCTTTTTTCCCTTCTTCTTGTTTTGAACGGGGTTGAACTATATGCCTGCGTTATTATCACCTCATGGATAGAATCCCTTCGCCCTCGTTGCGATCACCTCCGAATATGGCTCGGAGATGGGCACGGCGCATCGAGCGCTATTGCTGCGGCGCCCTCACCTACTTTCCCCTCGCCTTCGTCTATAGTATCACCACATGGGCCGTATGGGTTGTCGTTAATATCGGCTCTAGTGCCATGTCAAAACCTGGTTGGATAGGTTAGTATCCCAAGTCTAGTTTTTATTGTTTCTTTTTTACTCCGAGCTATGCGACGCAAGCTCGAGGTTGAAAATCGAGGTTTAGAAGTTAAAAGGTAGAATTAAAGCTTGCCTAAAGCTAACATCTATTCATAGGAACTAAAACCTCTATCGGCGGCGTCTTTCTCTACTTAATGCTTAATTGGTGCTACACCACCGCCGTCTTCACGAACCCTGGTAGCACCACCAACGAGTCCGGTTATTCTACCCTGCCTACCGCCGCCCCACCGCAAGCTACCTCTTTTACCGTCAAGTCCAACGGCGAGTTGCGTTTCTGTAAGAAATGCCAGGCCCGAAAACCCGATCGTGCGCATCACTGCTCGACCTGCCGCCGCTGCGTCCTCAAGATGGACCATCACTGCCCCTGGCTGGCTACCTGCATCGGCCTACGCAACCATAAGGCCTTCCTCCTATTCCTTATATATGCCACTATATTCTGTTTTTACAGCTTCGCCGTTTCCGGGACCTGGGTATACGCCGAGCTGTTCGCCCAAACTCAATATACTAATACCCTTATGCCCGTCAACTTCATCATGTTAGCCGTTATCTCTGGCATTATTGGTCTCGTCGTCGGCGCCTTCACCGGCTGGCACATATTACTTGCAAGTCGCAACCAGACAACCATCGAGTGTTTAGAGAAGACTCGCTATCTAAGCCCGCTACGAAAGACGCTGCAGCACCAGTATGAGGCGCAACACAACGGTGAAGGCATCCCGTTACCGAGATACGGCCAACAATTACTGGATATCCATGCGAACGCACTGCCTGGCGTCACCAGGCCGGAGGAGGGCGAAGTGAGAACGACTAGAGACGATATTCCGCCGCGGCAGGTCTCATACCAGGAGCTAGAACAGTATCGCGCAAGGAAGCGGTATGAAGAATATATGGACGAGCAAGACTCGGAGAAGTTGCCAAACGCCTTTGACCTCGGTGCCAAGCGAAATTTGTTACACTTATTCGGTCCCAAACCCATGCTTTGGTTTTTCCCGGTTATCAACACGACAGGCAACGGCTGGACCTGGGAAGCGAATCCCAAATGGATAGCAGCACGGGAGCGGATGGCTCGAGAGCGCGAGCAACAGCGACAGCGGGAAAGGGCTGCTGGATGGGGCGAACCTGACCCGGGATTTGTCCCGATCACGGTTGAGCGGGCTAACGCAGGTGCCGGGAGACACTACCAGGCATCATTACCGCCACAACCCCCGCAATACCAAAATCAACGCAGCAGCCGACGTGTCCCGTCTAAAGCGGATCGCGTGCTAGGTCGCGATCCAAGCCTATACGTAGATGAGCCGCCGAATTCGGTATCGATGCGGACGTTAAATCGACAGGGTATGGCAATCGAAGATGAGTTCGATGAGGAGAGCAGTAGCGATGAAAATGATTGGAAGGATAGGGGAGAGGAGGAAGATCCGGAGAGTAAGGCGATGAACGTGGTTACGAATGGCGGATGGGCGCGAAGTGGTGCCAGTGGATTATTAAGGAAGCCGAGCACAGGAGTAAAGAGTGCGAGTAGTGGGAGTGTATCACCGACGAAGGGGACTACCAAACGGCAAAGTAGTGATGAGGATGAGGTTGATTAAGGAGGGGGGCTGAGGAGTAAGAAAAGGAGTATCGACTACATGATCCGCAAGGAAAAGGATGGAATGAGGGGATGAATGAAAGGGCGAATAAGCTTTGTCACAGCGTGTGGCATCGCTTTTGTCGTCTCTACGGTTCTTCTTTTTTAGGCTCGTGGATATCATTTCATGCATGCATGGCTCAGGCGTTTCAGATGTAACAGGGACGATTGATATTCGGCGTCTTCGTTTGTTATACCTTAAGCACCTTAAAGGTACGGTATATGACGTTGGTTGGTATACGGATTAAGGATAAGATGTATTATGATTCTTGCTGAGGCAACATTTGTATATTGGAATACCACCCTCGCGCTCTTGGGAATAGAGACACGTGGACAGGATTAGTTGAATGAGATATGGTGAACTATATATATTTTTACGTTGATTGGGGAGTTTGCGGTAGATTGGGAAGGTTGTGCGAAAGCGTATATGTGTTGGGTGGGTTGGAAAGGGATAGTATCTGTGAGTCTACGCAATAGGCGTCTCGAACAACTAGAGGCATAAGAGGTTATATTCGAGAAGAGCTACATTTTTAGTTACTCTAACACAATAATACAATCTACTTTCTTTATATGTTTGCATATAAAGTAATGAAGTCTCATGTCAGTTAAGTCTTGTCAGGGGCTGCTTACATAATCTGTTCTGGAAAAGGGGCCAACACTTAAGCATCATCATTTCATCTCTCACTCTTTTCTTTTGATATTAATAAAGACTTAAGAGCTCAACATCTAAGAATATGGTAGTATACTGTGTATCGGTTGGTTTTTAGTTTGTGTATAATTTGGTTGCTTATGGACTGTGGCATGGTTTATGAAGTAGAACAAAAGACTATCACAATTAGCGAAGGTAACTAATTAAACTCTTGAAACTAAGGCTATACTTGTTGTAACAAATTATTCTAAATACGTCGAAATATAGTATGCTACATTACCAATCCCCTACTTAGTTCATAAACCTTTCAACTGGTTTAATCTCTAGCCTATCTGCTCTCTGCGTCTCTTATGTGGCCTTAAGATGTTTCCACGATAAATCTAAAATCGTGCATACTATGTTATATTTCATTGTCTTCGGAATGAAAAAATTCTTGAGAACACAAGTATCCTACACTTTACATCAAGACAAGGTAATAGTCTTAAAGCCCAGTCAGCCCGGGGCTTTCCTGTTCTATTCTAGACATCCAGAAGACATCGCAATATCTTATACTATCATATTAAACGGTACTTCCAGAACCTAACTAATATTTAAGTATTCGAATGCGATACAGCTGAATATACATATATATAACATTATTTAAACTCCTACATATCACTTTGACCTGATAAAATGGAAAAAGTTCGGAGTTACCAGAGATTGTGATAACTTCGTATATCAGCATGACCCACCAAGAAAAGTCCACAATTTACATTTCCCCTATTTACTTGTAGCGTTGGCTCGTAAGGCAGTCAAATTCACCCAAACAGCCTGTTAATCGACTTCCATATTACTTCTATCTTAAAGTACATATAACAAGACATTAACTATCTCTTATTAGCTTTAGCCTAATATATAACCTACAAGTAGATAAACTAAAAATCAACACTACTGTTACGGTTCATACGCAGTATTAACAGTGGTGAATATAAAACTGTGGTAAGACATCTTAGATCTTACCAAATACTGGTGGAATTGTTACGGTGCACTCGTGATACCGTGTTACTATATCTTAGTGATAAATAGTATCACATAAATTCTGCAACGTAGTAGATTGATTAACTACGTAGGAGAGTATGTTTTAGGTACCCATCGGATGAGTGTATGAATATGAATGACCTTGTTAACCTTGAGGTGTTAGTTAATAGCTTTATGTTTAACTATCCCTTATAACTACCAAGTATTGTTCATCAATTTAATACCCTTGATTTGTGTTGCACATATAGTGAATCTTAAGATCGATGAGTTGAACTATTAACCCCTGCATTTCTCTTTTAAGGGGGTCACATACCTTTTACACACTTAATCCCCGTAAATCTGTAATTCCTAGAATAGTGGTGACGTCGTCGTTAAGTTAATTATCAGTATTACAGTATCTAATTATATATGCATAAATATAGGCAGTGATTACCTCATTGTATAAGTGCCTGAGTCACTGTTGCTAAGGATCCACAAAGCTATCCCTAAATCTACCCCTGATCCATTTATTCCTTGACATTATTCGAGATTTTATATCAAGTTATAACAAGTCGTATATTTATAACCCAATGAATTTATAACCAAATCATGGTCCTTTAATATCTTATGAATGATGTTTAAAACGGATTAAGGTAGATTGAGTATCATCTCAAGATACTAAACGAAAAAGGGCAAAGAGAAAGTATCTACGTAAGTACCTAAACTATTAATATTTAAAACACATTTAAAATCAAGCTCTCTAAAAGAGAATAGTACATAGAGTTGTGACTTAACTAAGGTGAGCATACAGTTGTAGTTAAGGGATGTAAACTTTGGTGAACTACGGAATATAACTACTGGTTTAACTAACTCCAATGAAACAAATAACAGGTGGCAACTTAAATTGATTAAATTAAACTCCTAAACATAGATATGTTAATGTCCGTATATTTTTACTTCTTCTTCTCACATTGTCTCGCTAGTGTTCGTCTTCTATATAAAATGATATCTCAATGGCACATTTCTATTGCAACACTTGATACTATTATCAAGACATATTTCCTACAATAAATCCATTGCAACTTTAATAACATGCATTAAGTCTCAAACAGCTTTAGTAGCAGCAGTGTTCAATAGAGATTATTATCAAATACCACGTAGAGCTAGGTACCGAAACAAATAAAATACATTGATGCTTTTTCACGTTCGTACCAGTCCGTACGCCCGAGTAATCGCACGCTACTCTCGTAGCCACTATCGCCACCATAAATGTTCCTCACCGACAACTTCATATCTGCGGTGTTACAACCCTCAGCTGGAGCAGTCCCTCCAACAGCATGCCATACCAAGCAGGTAAGTAGCAAAGCCCGATACCCTTTCGAAGAAGAGCCACATGAGCGCCACCGGACATGCCATTACAATTTATGAAGCAATGATTACGCAACTGACCTGATGCTCGTGATGACACGTTTCATTCCATCCCATCCACCTTCTGTCGATTGCCTGATATTAATCACGTGGCTACTATCCATTAAATTACATTACATTACACAACTCTTGTCGGCGGAATTTTCCAATTTGAAACAACTCCCCTACCATACATACGTCCACGAGGCACGCTGCTTAGATTCCACCGAGCCAGCCAAAAAGGGGCCTCGGGCATCCCTCCGGCTACGTGTTCCTCGCGCACGAGTCCGCCCTCAGCACGAGCAGCTGAAGGTGGGGTACGCCCGCTGCTGCGGTGGGCATAAGTCGCCGATACGCTCCCGAAGCTGGCCTACCTTAGCTTACCTCGCCTTACCTCACCTTACCCCCGACGTCCTTGTGCTATGCCACGCCCGGTCGAGCCCAATTTGCCCAAGCGCAGAGATGCAGCGTGACCTGTGGTCGTCTGTCTGGACTCGGGCTGCTACAGTAGCGGCGGCCTTCATGTGGCGGGACCGCGGGGCGCCCAGCGCGGCAGACGTCGGCTTTGGGGGCTCGCGTTGCACGGGGCTCGGAGGCGTTATGGTCTAGCTAGCTACCTGGAGCGCGTGGGATATCTAACCTGATCCCTCGGAGCCTGGCTCCGGCCGGGGGAGAGGAGGGGCGTCGGCCTATCGAGACTACCGCAGCTAGAGACTGTAGGTAGGGGACGCGGGGCGGGCTCCGGTTCCACGGGGTCTCCTCCACTCAAGTTGCTTTAAAAAGCATTAGTTCACATGCGGGCCTGTCCAAAACCGCAAAGGGTCCCCCATTTGTACATGCCTAATACATACATACATACATACATACATACATACGTGGAATTACAGGCTATTCGGGGGGGACACGAAACAAAGCCTGAGGGGAAGTTGTCGTCTTTACGTAAGTAGACGATAATTAACCACGAAAGTCCGGGGTAGTAAGACTTTCTCTTTCTTCCTTCCTACATACATACATAGATGCATACACAGATGCCGAGCCAAGATGCGAAGCCCGTCTTATGCTCGTGATAACAGCTAGCACAGCTAGTACAGCTAGCACATCGATCTCCAGGATCTAGTGACCTGTGATTCCACATCGATGTTTTCGAGGCGTCCAACTATGCATCTCCTAACCTAGTGGACCTGAAGAAATGCAGGAAAGGGGGTTTCTGGTTCAATGGCAAAGTGACAATGGCCAGGTGTCTTCAAAGTACAGTACTGCTCGCCGCAGAAGTACCGCCGATCCCAAGTTTTCCGTTTAAATTGCTGTGTTGTTTATTGCCAAGTAGCCAGCTAGCCTACCCAACTACCTATTTAACCCTCAACTACGTCACTCCACGAGAATATATCCTACCCTATGCTTCCATGCTCGTGTGCCTGTACATACTTGTGCTTGTGCTTGTGCGTGTGCTTACGCTAAGCTCATCGTCCCGGCCCGCGCCCATACATGCAGAGCGGAGAGCCCTCCATATCCCTGATGATTGGCGCGCCCCGAGCGGTGAACCAACACGCAGCTTCCCCCTCCCCCCGCGCCAATTTTCCGCTGCGAAAGGCCCTATTTAGCACCGTTAACGGATCTGCCGTCGACGAGATTAGGTAGGAAGGCAGGCGATCCTATGCGGTTCGTCTCTGCGGTTCGTGGAGTCGACGCAGGGAAGCGCATCTTGCCGATCCTGCCGCTAAAGAAGAGATAGTGCCGCGCGTTATTTTGTAACATGTAGGCATGTAGTCATGTAGGTGCAGATGTGCGTATACGTGAATTGTATGTTATAGTTGGGCAGTTTAGGCAGGTAGACAGGCAGGCTGTTTTAGCCCCCTCCCTGGTTTATGGCTCCCGCGGAACCAGAGTTGGGCCATCGGCGGAGTTTAAGA